ATTTGCATAATTAACCAACTTTCACACTGATATCTCAGGTAATATACATCACATATCAATGAATGTACATGGATGCTGTAGGACAATAGACAGACCTGAATAATTGTGGGTTAAAATCTGTACATATTAATTACTTAATTTGCATAATTAACCAATTTTAAGCTTTCACTCTGATATCTAAAGTACTAATTATTCCATTTCAATGAAACTTAGTACAAAGATGCTCTAGGACAATGTACAAACCTAATTAGTTTGGGGTAAAAATCTGTTCATATTAATTCCCTAATAAGCATAATAATTTATAATTTTTTGGTTCTAATCACATTTCAATTAAACTTGGAAACATAGATTTTCTGTTACATTGCGCAGACCTCATTAGTTTTACACTCAAATCTGTTCATATTAATTTTCTGATTTGCATAATTAATTTTCAGCTAAGTAATCTCGAATTATATTTAATGTGTCTCCAATACTCTCAGCACATGGGAGTTCTTTCTAAGCTTTCTTTGATTCTTTGCTATGTCTCAAATCGGAGGGGTCATCAGGCAACACATGTTTGAATTGGATCTAAATAAACAATCTGTTGTATTTGCCACTTAGGACTCAAGGACACGCTCACGACAACCCCTTCACCTCTGCTTTAATATGACTAGCACAAAGAGAACTTTCAAAAATTTCACGGGGACTGTGTCATTTTCAATTCTTTGTCTGGGATATAACAGGGCATTGACTATTTAAAGAGGGTCCATTTTCATTCATATTTGGCACACAGATCATACATATTGAACTTTATGTTCATGTCATTTTGTTTCATAATCGGATCAAAGCCAGTTGGCCATCTCCATAGATTTTGGATCATTTTTGTCGTGTTGGGATGGCTGTAACAGGAGTCAATACTAAACTGGTAACTGGACAAACAATATTCACTACAAGGCAGACACCATATTACGAGTATCAGCACTGCGCATGCTCAAAGCAATGCCTTAAGGGCTTACACCACAATTTTCATTCATATTTGGAAGGTTGCATCCAGTGTTCTCCACAATCCAAAATAGCTGATGGGAGGCCTAATTAGCATAAATTTGCATATCATTTACATGCAATGCACACTAAGTTATTTACTATACTCTTTTTAATTTAATTGAAACACGAACAGATTGGTCACTATCAATATTTCTGAAATGCAAAAAGTTTGAAATCGTTGATTTATACATTTGCAAATTATTCTATGTTCATGAAATGCAATTTGAGTAACCAAGAGCAGGTACAAAACATAATTGAGTTATAATGTAGAAAATATACGAGGTGATTTGTCCCCGAGGCCAAAACGGACGATTTGTCAAAACAAAACCCATTTTTAGCTCCGCTGTCGACTTTGTCGAGCGGAGCTTATCATATGAGTGATTGTCCGGCGTTGTCGTCCATGTCAATGTTTTACTTTTTCGACTTCTTCTTGAAAACTACAAGCCTGAATGCTTTGATACTTGATATATATGTACCTTGGGTAGACCTCTCTCAGATTTGTTCATTTCATGATCATATCTTCAATTCTCTAATTTTGGTGAATATTTTTGTCATTTTTGGTAAAAAGTGATATTTTCGACTTCTTGTTAAAAACCACAAGTCCAATTACTTTGATATTACATATATAGGTACTACATGTGGACCTCTCTCAGATTTGTTCATTTTGTAATGATATCTTCAACTTCTTGTTAAAAACCTCAAGTCCAATTGCTTTGATATTACATATATAGGTACTACATGTGGACCTCTCTCAGATTTGTTCATTTTGTAATGATATCTTTAATTCTCTAATTTTGGTGAATATTTTTGTCATTTTTGGTAAAAAGTGATATTTTCGACTTCTTGTTGAAAACAGCAAGTCCCATTGCATTGATACTATACGTATTGTTCATTTTCTAATGATATCTTCTGTTCTTTAATTGAAATGTGCATTGCTAACAGCGGAGCTATCTCGGCCGAGAGGCTGCTTGTTATTTGTGGCATCAGTACTCGCCTGTGCCGACGGACGGTAAGATGCATTTACGCATGTACGGTCCTGATACGTTGCGTTTTCACATGTTGTTTTGGAATTCAAGAAAAAATGCTAGCAATCGGCAAAATATAAGAATCTGCTATGTTCTCGAAAGATTAGACATAAAAAATGGATAAATTGAAAAAAGTACGTGGAAAGGATAACTAAACTATTATTCAATTACAAATACTCGCGGTAAACTAATCCGAGAGCCATGTTTGACGTTTATTACCGCTTTTCGAATTCAGTAAACGAACACCCAGAATGCGCTGTTCCCCTATGCAACTTAGATACTTAATCGTTACAGTGGCAACAGCGGTGGGTGGCCGATGGTCGTTGAATGTGGTAGGCCAAAAGGTCACCAGTTTGCCTTCTCCATGCTGTTTTCACGATGAAAATCGAGCGAACGTTGTAAATACGGCTAGAATTTTAATTTTTGTTCGAGTTTACATGCAATGCTAATACATTTGTTTATTTTCTGTGCATATACATTTCGTTCGTATTTACTTCTTTCTTTCGTGATCGGAAGGCGATTATTAAAAATACAGCTGTAAATTGAAACCACTGTAGTTGCGTATCGTAAGCAATAAGTGACAACAATGTCGAGCGACAATGAATTCAGGCGATTGACACATTGCCATGAATACACTTGATAACTGCTTTCAGACTTCCAGTGGTCATTGTTTATGTTTGGACTCTTGAAAAAATTATTTCAGCTGGATGTACGTTGGTGGGCGGGTGTTGAGAGTTACTGGGTGGTCGTAAAACTTGATGGGTCGCCCGCCTAAAACCCCTTGTGGAGAACACTGTGCATCGTACATATGAGTATACATGTTCATGTCCGTTTGTTCCATAATCATATCAAAGATGGCCAAATGACATGTGTTATCTTGAACAGGATTTGTCGGTTTTTGTTCAAATTTGATACAAACATTATACATGTTGAGAAAAATTACCAACTGGCAGCCATCTTGTTTTTTTCAAAATGTATCATTGACTGGGATCATTGTCAAATTTTTTTTTTCTTCAATTACATACATGTTAAAATACACGTCCATGACAATTAGTTTCACACTTGGATCAAAGATGGTTGACTGCCTGCAATCTTGCTTTTTTCTGTTGATGCTAGACCACTCTCAATTACTATGTTTTTTGGTCCATATTACTTTATTGTTGGCATGAATAACATTTCCCCTAATTCCAACGGGGACTATGTCATTAAAAACCCAATTCACTTGCCCCAGGCAAGTGTTAATTGGAGGTGTGGCTATGCTAATGAGTGTTGTTAATCACTTGCATAGTCTATGACACCTCCTGTTTCAGCGGCCCAACATCACGTGACTTTGATGACAGTAGTTAATTATTCAAGTAGCGCGTTCCTTTCCCTGGTTGGTGTTTTTGAATTTTATTTGCCAAAATCTCAAATCGTACACTATTTATTGTCATAAATACTACACACAGTCACTGCTATGATATTCATAGTCACATGCATCCATTTTGGCATGACATAATCGACCTGTAAGTTTGAGAGAAAACGCGTTTTTACCAGAGCTTGGCTGGAGCTGTTTACTACAGCGTGACAAACAAATAATCCCTATTGTTTAGGAGTGTATTTATAGTATACCTGAGCCTTGTTGACTTGTTTCTTAGTATTTTCTCCAAACCAAATAAAGAAATTACCATGGCAGCCATGCAAAACAAACCTGAAACTGTTTGTTACTCTAACGTGGTGGTAGTGCTGAATGCAAGCACTGTACTCCTATTTGAACTGTCCTTGTCTTGTCTAATTTGAAACCAGACTTTTCTACCAAATCGTGCATGTCATGGGTAAGAGTCATGAATTGATAACTTTTCATTTCCAATGTTACAAGCATTGCGCTCTTTTATAAATCTGTCATACAGCTAAAGTTTGGATACAAAAAAATTACCCGAAAGTTTTTGACTATTATTCTGTCATTTTAGGTTTGATCTCATATTTCTTATGCTGGATCCTCAAGATGAGTTGTATGATCGTCGTCTCGCTAATCATCTCGTTTCGTTGTACCACAGAAGCCAACGAGAGAGCGATGAAGAACATTTAGTAAGTGATCTGTGATTGACCATACAGTGTACTCCACAAAATACAAATGCCACTCTTGATTTCCACACCTTTTCTATTGTCGATATATGAGCTACTGTTCCTTAAGAAACAATTTTGCTGTCCTTGCGCCATAAACAATTACCAACAGAAGTCATTAGATTATTTGGGTCTATGCAGCCAATATCAAATATAAAACATTAGAAGAAAATGTTCAGTGTCTGTATCACATCACAAATATATAAAGCATTCTATAGTATACTGTAAAGTACCGATCATGCCACAATCAATTGCAAACTTGAAAAAAAAGAATTGTTGAATAAACATAGTATGACGATATCAACAAATTTTGTAAGCCCGATGTAAGAAAACTTGATGTCAAAAAGTTCAACTTCTCTCTATAATGGCCTATTGGTACTCTAATCATAATGCTATCCTGCGACAACTAAAATGCTGAATTCTGCATAGTACTGTGATACCATACTGTTGTACTGATGATCTCTGATCGACTATAAAAATCTGAATATGTTGACTATTGTCTTCTGCAACAGGACATGGGTTTAATGAAAGATTATATTGCATATGCTCGTCAGTACATCCATCCAAAACTAAGTGAAGAAGCCAGCCAGTCCTTCATTAAGTCGTACGTTGAGATGCGAAAGATTGGAAGTGCCAAAGGAATGGTATCTGCTTATCCCAGACAGTTGGAATCATTGATCAGGTTAGCGGAAGCCCATGCCAGAATGAGATATTCCAAAGTGGTAGAATGTATAGATGTTGAGGAAGCAAGAAGGTATGTTTCTTGTAACCAATAACTAAAAAAAATAATAGAGTACAAAATGTAGAATGCTGTGTAATGAAAAACCTATTATAACATTCGTAAGCAATGCACATAACTAGTTTGCATGTGTATAGTACAGTAAAACCTGTCAAAACCGACCCCTGGATAAACCGACCTACTGTCAGAACCGACCGATTTATGTAGTCCCGAAATTTCTCCATAGACGCCTATGTTAAAACAACCTGTGAAATCCGACCACTGTCTACTCCGAACACCGACCGCATTGATCGGCCCCAAGTCCAATATTCACACTGAATACATCGACCATCCGACCAGTTGCACCACGTCCGCTGTCTAGTAATCCGGTCTGCCCGACCTAAAAAGTGTGCATTGTGTTGAATTTACCGTGAACGTCACAGAAACAATATCAAATCTCACACTACAAGTAACGTCCCGTGTAAAACAATAGCAACTGATTAAGTTTTTCACACCACACGCCATCGCATCGCGTGATGTCTG